TTTTATTGTGTTTTTCAAACTTTGAACATGTTTGGAGACTTTTTTGTTACGACGAAACCTTTTTTGGGAGTTCAGTAGACCACCTTTTTTATTTAGAGTGAACGATGCTCAATAATTCATATTAATTGGGGGATCTCGAAAACTTTTCTCGAAACTCAAAATTAGCCGTATCTGCAGGCTATTTTATGCAGAAAATGATCCGATTTCTGATCGTGTGAGTTCTTTTGTTGAACGGGCCGGATTCCATCAGTTAAATCAAGAATTTTAATTGGATTCATGTTATATCGTTACATAATTGATTGATTCTCAAAAAACGGACTGAAATCGAAAGAGTCCTGCTCGATTCGATCTCTGTATCATAGGGTGGGTGTGGGTGGGTATAAACTCATCTCATAGCACAACCACACCGACATCCACACCCATACCCACACCCACACTCACACCCACCCCCACACCCACACCCTTCCTTCCTTCTTTTTAATTTTTGGTCTGGCTGTTAAGGTCTCAGTTCAGTATGAGCAGGTTATACTCACAAATTTCATCACTACCTAAATCTTACTTCAATAGAAGTAGAATACAACTTACGAATATTACAACTTCCTAAATTTTACACATAAACATAAACATAGAAAGAAATAAAGGAAATAGTTTCGATCAATATTTTTTAAATTAATTCAATAACATAAAAATTTAAAAATTTTGTTTAATTTTGTCTGACACATATACACGTTTGTCTTGTTGTAACAATTTATTTCTCGAATGATATAGAAGTTCGATCAGTTAGAAATGTAAAAGATTAATTATTTTCTATGAAATCATCTATAGACTATACTCAGAAGTTAGATGAATGATAGATTCTTGTTTGAATTAAACTTACTTTAAATTAAAACTAAGCAGTTATTTTCCAACTAGGGTGTTGGTATGAGTGTTTCGAAATAGAAATTATTCAAATAAGAAAGCTTTAAAGAATCCTTAATCGGATTATTTAATATCATCTCACTTATCCACGGAGTTCTATCCGTCATTCGACTATCTCGAACATCCACAGTTGATATGCTTTATCTAATACGTAGGATTAGATGAAAAGGTTTGCATAAGCAGGACGGGAATCGAACCTACATCCTCCAATAACCGGTTGGATGTTCTATCAGTTCACTATGTGATCTTTCTCTTAGTCATTCACAAAGGATTGCATATTTGATATTATATTTTATAAGATATGTGTCGTAAGACATTAGCCCATTAGCGTGATTTGTTGATCTATCTTTGGTTGTGTGTGAATAGTTCATGTTCTGTGTAAGTCCCTGGATAAAAAAATGACTGACACTGATCGAAGATATATTCATTAGAATCAGAGACGGTTGTGGATGTGGATGAGTGGGGTGTTAAAGAATTACCACGATCGGTTTCGACAGTTAATCAAGCTGTCGATCTTTCGGTAGTTTCTGATTGTGTGTGTATGTTTACAAATGAGAAATAATTCAAAGCAGTCATACGACATGTTCCGATAGTTGCTTACACTATCAATCATCAGGTATGTTAAGAAAACATCAGTAAAATAAGATTAATCATGTTTTATTATGAAATTTTACAAAAAAAACAAACATACACATAATATTAATCTAATAAACATAGTTTATCTCAAATAGAGAAAGAAGTAGAATTGTTTTCTTCGTGGGACTCAAACCATGTATCGTCTGCTAGAGAAGAGGAAGAGAAGAAGAATACCTCGCTTTTCGGCTACCTTTCAGTATAGGATGATGTTTGAGGACATTTTCATTAGCCCGATATTTTTCCTACAATTACTGCTAGTTGTAGCACAGAACAAAGGGTTGGCTTGTAGCAAAGTTCTCCTCGCTGAATTACTTAAGCTCCCCATACATACTGACTAACCACATACTACCTACACGAGCTATACAGTATGTCGACAATGTAATCAGCATGCTATTGGACGGGTGATCCGAGACAAATAGCCGTTAGCGACTTGTCTAAGGTTATTCCAAGCTGATAGTACTGATGTTTAAACGTAGTACTTTGTGGGCACGTGCTGAAAAGCGTAATCATTCAGCTATAGCGGCAGTATCTTTTGCCATCCACACAAATTTCCGACCAATTAGACAAGAAGAAATATTATTACATAATCAATATAACTCTTCAGATAATTGAAATAATTATGGAAAATAGTAATAATTCTTTTTTTGATAAAGTAACGAAAATAAAGATCATAGTTCTCAAAACGGCTACTCATCAGATAAATTTCGAATTGAAATGTATTGTATGATATAAAACTTGACATAACTAACCATGATGTCGAAGATATATTGAGGAGTGAGTCTATAAATGATAAAATAATTCCAAGCAACCGTACAACATATTTCGGCATTTTCTTAAGTTATCAACCAGCGAATGTGTTCAGAATTTTTATAACTATGTTGTCGAGGAAATGAAAATCTAGGCGATCTTAAAATTTTCCTAGAGGGGAAAATTAAATTTTAATCTATGCTAGGGTAAAATCAAATTTAATTGTTTCTTATGAATTTTGTATGAAGAATCGAAGATTCAAGTTTTCTCTACAGGAGAATTTTATAGTCTTCTAAACAATGATCAGTATATTGTTATTCTTTACTACCATGTACTTCGTACTACCACGTTATTTATTATATTAATCTGTTAAAACAATATAATGTTACAAGAAATGAGACAAAAAAATTCGAAAAAAACAAATCACACATTAGTCGCTGCAGTAATTACAAATATTAACACAAACATGTTTCTTTTTTGGATGACATTTTGTACTACATTTAAAGAGTTTAGCTTTACATGGACAAGATTTTGTAGCACATTTACCAATACAGTTGCATGCTTCTGCTACTGGATTTGTACCTGCTAAAACATATTCTTTACACGCTTCTGTAAATGTAATTGTTGGTAGATTTGTTGGATCAACGTCACGTAAATCAGTATAATCACATTTTCTTAAATCCAAGAGATCTTGGACACCATATAATGTTGATAATATACCTTTCGAAATACACACCTTATATCTCATACTGTCATTCGAGAACGCATGAATAGATATAACTTTGCAAGGTAAGATTTTTGGTCTTGTATTAGTACGGTCAATATGATCGAATTGAAGACCAACGAGATCTCCCTGCTCGTATTGTTGTTGTTCTTGTTGCATAGCATTTTCACATAACTTTTGTCTTTTTACAGTTGATGTCATATAATTAGCTGTTGCTTTCTCGCCAATATCCTTATATCCATGATTAATTGTATCATCAATTGTTCTAGGAATATTTTCACTACTATTCGTGAGAAGAACATCTATAAAAGCTAAGAAAAATAGCTAATGAGTGTCTTAATTCATAGTTTAAGATACTGTGTGACAAACCTTCAGCAGTAGTACTATCGTCCAAGTCGAAAAGACTACGAGGAGGACATGTTACATTTGTTTTTTCACAAGATTTATCAATAGTATTAACAGAAACGTTAATATTTTGTGTAGAAGGCAACGCTAGTAGTTGAGGTTGAGGTGCTAGATTAAATATTTGACTGCTGGTATCGAAAGCGTTGAGTTGATTGTTGTTGTCAATATCGTTTGAATCATCTGTTTCCGTATTCATCATATTACATTGATGTACTTAAAAACGAAACTAAACTTTTTCGAAAGACTGTATACCTAATGTAGAACTCACATTCATTGACTTCACAAATAAAATCATTAGAAAGATTTTCCTCATCTTCAATACCAGATTCACTAACGATTGTCCACATTTTAAAATCTGATCTGGATCGTTGTCCAAACACAATCTCGAAAGGTGTTTTATTTGTTACTTTACTAATACTCGTATTTATTGAATACACAACTGCACCTAGACCTTAACACAAATAATCAAAATAGTGAGATGTAATAAACATAAATATGTATTTACCTGTCGACCAGTTATCAGTATGATTATGTTGCATCCATTTGCCTAACGCCATTTCTAGTTTACGATTACCACGTTCGATTAGACCTTGTGTTTGGGGATGTCGAATCCGACCATTCAAAATTACTAAATCTATCCAAGTCTTTTTCATATTCTACAAAAAAAATACATGTCGTATGGTGTCGTTGGAAATATTCTGTTGAAACATACTTTTATAACTCGAGCTACGAATTCCTTTCCATTATCGCTTTGAAGTATACGAGGAGCACCAAATGAATAAAATTGATTCAACAGCTTTTCTGCTACGAGTTGGGTCTCTTTAGATTCAAGTGGATAAGCCCAAGAGAACCTTGAAAAATGATCCTTCACATGCAAAATCCATTTAAACTTGCCATCTGGACTGCATATCATGTCAATAAGATCTATTTGAATACGTGTTAAATATCCAATTGAGATGATCGGTTTATCTATTTGACAAAAAGAGACGAATGCGTAAACCGACTTTAATACAAGCAAACGTTACTCACCGACTGGAAATTTTGAGAACATTTGTCGATTGCTACAGAACTCACATGACTTAATAAATAGCGTAACAACATCGTAAGGTATCCAAGCATATTGAGTTTTGACCTAGAAGTTGCCTTTTTTTTATTAAGAAAAATCGTGAGTTTACGTACTTCTTCCCATGTCTTGTCTCTTCCATGATGACCTACACGATTGTGGCATTCATCTATTTTTATATAAAGTTCTTCATAAGTAACGACTGGACGGCTAACTTTTCCACTACTATATACAAAATGTACTTCACCAATTTTCACAAGCACAAAATGCTTCTGAGCCCAATATCTAAATTGTGCACTACCCCAACCGTCACGTAAAACCAAAATAATGTCTTCATACATATCTTTTTTAATTAAATATTTAGTACGAAACTTTTCGTTGAGATTTCGAATATGATTGTCGAGTTTTTTGTAAAATATGTCCATGTTGCTATATAGAATTGTATACAAATCGAGTTTATTTTAATGCATATTAATTTCATCAGAAACATTCTCCTTTTATAGACCTAAAAGTCTAGTTTCTCGCTCTCTCAGCCACGCTATACAGCACAATTTCGTATTACTCTTTAGTTTAGTTTTTATAAAGAAACAGTAATGATGATATACTTATCATTGATTAGGAGAATTTAGGATTCACCTGTAGGAAGAATTAAAATTGTAACTTGTCCTAGAGGTGATTAAAATTGTAACTTGCCCTAGGGAAGATTAAAATTTTAATTTCCCCTATAGGGAAATTCTAAAGTCCTCTGAATTTTAATTTTTCCTCCAACAACTATATACGAACCATTAATGAATATTATGAAAATATATAAAATAATACAACCAACATAAACATAGAATACTAATTCTAAAAAGCATACTTAATTCAAAGGTAAAACGGTGAGTTTACAAATGATAAAATAATTCACAGTAGTCAGCAAGTTTTTTTGGTGATTGTTTAAATCGAAAGAGTGGAGTGTACAGAGGAGGAGTTTGCTGCTGAAACAAAATCGCGTTAGAATTGTCGGTATTTTTCTGAGTGCATGAGTGGGTGACTGACTGACTGATTTTTATAAATGCTTGTCATGATGAGAATGGAAGTGAAAGTGAATATTATTATAGTTTGATTTATTAAAAGCCTAAATATATTAATCCATAGAGCTCATCAAATTGTATTCAAAACACGAATAAGATTCTTTGAAAATGATCCTAGGGAAATTGTAGATGGTCTTATTCGAATTGCTACTTTCTTCAATACATTAATATGCACATGCTTTTACTCATAAAGAACCAAGAATGAAATAGAAGTACAACAGTTTTTACCTTACAGCATAACGAATAAACAAAACATAGACAAAAGGCCTTCATTCATAATTGTCTCGTCGCCGTGTGTATGAAATATCACGGTTGATTGATCAAGGTAAAAAAATATTAGTTGGAAAAAATCCTGGTGACTTCATTGAATATAAATACACAAGATAACTTGCTATCAACATACATCAAAACAAATTCAATACATTTCAGCAGTAATTCTCATCGTGAGTATGTTTGATTATTCGTATATAGACAAAATCAGGTAGACCAGAGCCTATACCACTTTTATTTCGGTTGAATAATATACCAGGATATTCCCCTTTTAATAAATTCCTTTTTAGCATAGAGATATGTAAATAGATAAAGTTTGAGCTTTGAAATCGTAGATACTGTTGATCCGTTCTGCAATACTAGTGGCATGTTGTTCGATCAAATCGATCATAACAGAACTAACTTTTGATCGTCTGGAAGAGAACGTTGATCTTACCACATTTTATTGATAAGATCTATTTTAATAAAATAAATGTTGTTTTATTATAAAGTTTGATCGTGACCTTTTAGTTTTCAAACCACTTTTTCGATTAAAGATGGTTTGCCATGACAGGATGAGTCCGTATCACTGCTTGTGTTTATCCTTGTGGTATATGATAACAGTCTACGTAAAAAGAGAGATTTGAGAATTTTCAATAACTAACGATATTGATCTACACAATAAGTTAAACAAACTACCAAAGAACAAATCCATAGAGACGATGAACTATATTTAAGAAGAGAATCCGTCTATTTTTCTTTTTCAGCTTGTGAAACCAAAAAACGTCAATAGACGCTGACTTCAATAATCAACGAATTTTAAGTGAAGTTAGTTTTTCTTCTTGCAAATACATTTTTGACAATGACAAAGCACAATGTTCATAAACGGGTTCATCGACGAAATGGTCGAATTGATAGCTTGGAATTTGATTTTACCGAACCTGGTCACTTGGGCAGCACTTCGCAAACAGTAAAAATTTCACGAGACCAGTATGAGCAATCAAAAGCTACAAACTCAAAGCTAGTGTTATCATTCGATGAGGCTACAGACGTTTTAAACGTATTCATGAAGGGGAGCCATGCAACACCTGATGAAATAAGTGCAGTTTTTAGTATTTTAGATAAAAATAAGTCCGGTGATATCAGTGTTCGTGAAATTGCTGCTTTTACACGTATTATTGCACCCAATTTCAATAAAGAAACGGTCTTCGAACTTGTATCAATAGTTGACAGCAACGACGATGATAAGATGAATTTGACTGAATTCACAATTTTCATCAAGAAAAATCTTGGACGGAAAGTTGCTCTTAATCGTCACTAGAACCTCTCATAATCAAGGATGTGTCTAAACATGTATTCTTGATTTTGTGATCACTTTATTCAATAAAAGGTTTTTTTCAATACATCTGTTTCAAAATCTTTCGCTGTGAAATAATGTTAAAATGTCAACATTCAAGGGAGATAACGATATATGGATTTAATTGAAAGAGAAAACATACAAATGTGAATCTGTAGAAGGATAAAGATATGAGGGTGAGTTATATGAAGAATTAGTATCTCAAGTCAACGCTAATATTCAAAAACAAATTCCCATGTATGGTTAGCCTTGCTCTGATAAATTTAAAAAATAAGAAACGTCATGTAAGGCACATTAACGTTCAGAGATATTGATACGCATCAATTTTTAATAGAAAATTTCTATTGAAACATCCAGAATACGGTGTTTTGTTTTTTCGTTTATTTACATGACGAGCAGCATGATGATGATATGTGTTTTTGATAAAATTTCTTTAGGGGTAGGGTGTTGAGCTTACTTCCTACGATCTGCCTGTTTTATTAATATCAGTGTGCGTCGTGCACATAGTTTCAACTACCAAAACTATCCTATACGGCAATAATATGCAGTAAGGAAAATGACATTCAATGTATGTCAATACATTATTAGTGCGAGCACTGCTTGATGAAGTTAGTATTCGATCAGTGTGTTAATCTTCAATTGTATCAGGTGTATCTTTTCTGCTTCTACTTCTCGATAATGAAAGAAATTACAATTAAGATTATTTTAGATTTTATTTGCAAACCTTTCTCCTCTCCTTCGAGCTAATTCTTAGATCATGGGAGAATTTTACAGGGACGTAAAGGCCAACCCTGCACATTTTACTATCACTTATTTTAACTTATGGATGCTTATCAGTTCATTGTTCACTAGTGTGGGTGGAATAGTAGATTTGTACGTTGCGGATAAACACGGGCAATGTCGTCATGGTGTCGAAATTGCGGCTACTGCCATACAAGGTGTTGGTGTATTATTTTGTTTAATTGCTTTTGCAAGTACTGGTTGGACGTCATATGAAACCAGCAAAAATTCTAATAAGGGGCCTTTACAAAACGAAACAAAGGTTTCCACTATACAACATAGCCCTATTGAAAAGACTGATATTCTTCAAGTACTCATACTAATGATCGTAAATATTGTCTGTCTTATAATGGTAGTCCTTATATTGGTAGATAAGGGATGCACTAATTTTATATTCAATGCCGTCTATAGCATCTTTGGAACCGCCGGTGGATTTATAATCAACCTTATAACATCATTCAAATTACAAGACGCTCGTAGTCCGTCGAAAGACGAAAAACCTGATTTACCTCACACTCACCCACACGCTGCCGGCAGCCTCAGTGAGCGCCGTCCAATTACCAGAAAACAGCAACATATTCAAATAAGACAACATCGGCATCGCCATCAACGTCCTCGTCATCACATTCACATTCGCAATCTACCACCAGGGTAGATCTGCCAAAGATTCAAAAACAAACTGACCTGAAACATTTCTGAATAGAAATCAAACTCTTCATTGTCAACTTTTGCTTTTCCGACAATCGCTTTTAATCGAATTTAACTAATGCTTAAAATTCTAATGCTTTTAGAAAATTAAAATAATAAATGTAGATTATTTCGCCAATGTGTTTCATCTTTTTTATTAATAATATAATAATCTCAAATAAATTTTTCTCTTTCCTAGCCGTGACATATTGTAAGATCTTCTGTGTGTTTATGTCTTGACTGATGTAAGGGTGTGTGTGGGTGTGAGTTTCATGTACAGCAGATACGAAACGCAGTCACACCTACACCCACACCCTATTTCCACCCATTTCACCCACTTCCACCCGTTTTATCCACATTTTACTCATTTCACTCACACCCACCCACTTTCACCTATTTCACCCACTTTTTACCGATTTCACCATTTTACCCACTTTTTACCCATTTCACCCACTTCTGACCTTTTCCACCCACTTCATTCACTTCCACCCACTTCCGCCCATTTCATCCACTCCCACCAACTTCTGGCCTATTTCACCCACCTCCACCCTATTCCACCCACACCCATGCTATTT